CAGCGCTCCAGGAAGAGCCTCCAGTGCCGCTGAGACTTTCTCTCTTTTTTTTTTTTTTTTTTTTAAAAGGGGAAGGGAAGGCAGGCAACTCCAAAAGCAAATACAGCTCTGCCCTGCGCTAAGTCTACCACCCGTCTCCGACCCCTCTCCCGGGGGTAGCCGTGAGCCTCCAGTCGCTCCCCTTTAAAAGGGAAGCGGGAAATCCACCCAACCCCGTATCTCCCCTCCCTCCCTCTTTCTCTTCCCCCTCCCCGTCTGGAATTTCCAAGCCGGGACTAACTGGTCTGATTCTCCAGTCTCCCCTGCTGCTTTTTTCCTCCCCTTTTCTCTCCCAAACACTCCCATCCCAAATTCTAAGCTGCAAGTTCTGGAAGACATTAGCCACATTTCAAGACTCTTAAAAGAGGATGGGGAACGAACACGACTTAATTTAAATTATAACAGCTGGGAAAATGTCCGTTCTTCAAATGCCTTTGGTTCATACATTAATTCTAATAACCCCATCAACACCACCACCACCAACCACCACCACTACCACCACCACCACGCCACACACAAAAATCAACAGATCTAACCAATAAATAACTCTTCACAAAACCTTTAAACTTCAACAAACAGCAAGCACTTGCTGTTCCCCACTTCTCACTCAACTAAATCAGACCTGAATTTTAAAATGTTTTAAAATTGTATGCTCACTAGAGTATCTCAATAGTATCTTTGTCAACTGGCTGCTATACATTATAGTATAAATACACTCTTAAAAAGTAAGCCTTAAAAGTACCCACACACATAGATTAAAATGATACATATTAAGGTAATTTTAAAAGATTACAAGCTCAGAACTTTGAATCAAGATTCTTCCAACTGCTAATGTCATGTATTTCATCTCTGAAACATAATTATGAATTTTTTTTTCCACCAAAAGCTGTGCCATTAAAACTTTACCTTTTGAACAGTTAACAATACTTTGAATAAATTAGTAATGGGAACTGCAATTCTTCCCCTTCTTTACTAAAAAGTTCTCCATCTGAGAAGCCATTAGGGTAAAATTTCATCTTTTTAATTTGGGTCAGAAAATAAGGGGTTCTGGAAACCTGCAGTTCTTCCAAGGGACAGTCAGCTAACACTGTCCTTAGGAAAGTCTCATCTTGAAATACTGACCACCCAAATGAGAATAGCTAAGGATTTCTACCAGCAGTGAAGGAAACATAATTTATGAATTTGTAAAGTTAGGTGGAAATTAAAATAGGTAAAGAACATACCCCAGTTTCCACCTTTCCTCCAAACAGTGCACAAAAACTTCAGATTCAACCATTTTTTTCACTTATGTAAAGCGAAAAACAAAAAATTCTAACCTAATAAGAAAATCTTTTTAAAGGGGTAATCAATTGTTTCTACTTCAAGCTTTCTTAAATAGTAGTCACATGTATCTTTTGCCTTGTATGAGTTAAAAACTTTCTTTTTTATTTGGATACTAATCCATAATTACAACCATTAAAGTAAAAAGTGCCTGAAAACCCTCCCACTCTAGTAGTTTTCATTCCTTTGTTTTTTAACCCCTCTTAATTCATTTTCAGCCCCAAAGTACAAGGTGGTTTGTTGTTTTCTTTCCGTAAGTGCAAATCCATTTCTGAAAGCAATTTTTAGGTTGTTTGGAAAACATGTAGTGATCCAATGATTTCTTCAGTCCCTCAACAAATCATTTTGTTAAAATAAATTTAAAATATTTTGCCATTTTATAAGACAGCCTTCACAGATTTTTAAAGCTGCTAACTTCAAAAAATTAAACTGTAAAACTAAGAATCAAATTGCAACACTTTCTTTTCAGAGTTCTCATTTTTATATGAATGGCTTATAAAACTAATTGTTGTTTAATAGGTGGAAATTTAAGGGAAAGTTAGCCCACCTCATTTTAAGTCAACCTAGAGGAAAGGACCATTAATCTGCCTAAAGAAATCTTCAAACTTAGAATTCTTTAATGTGAACACATTTCACCTTAAAAAAAGAATTCAGTGCCTCTCTTTCATTGTTTTCTTATTCAACAGTAACACCTTTTATTTTGAGGACACCAGTTGACGGTGAATATGCTATCTTTAGGTCACATTCTTCTAGAAAAAGGCACACCAAAGTGGCAAGTGTAACAAAGGTTTAATTCCCTTAAAAAGCAAATTATGTCTCAAAAGTAATCAAGGCACACTAAAATGATACCCCTTTACCTCAACTACTCCTAAGTCTCTCAGAATAAAACATACACAAGCCCTTTCCACAACTGTTTTTAATGCATTTGGTTTTCCTTTTGTCCCGGTATCTGGCAGTGAACATATACAAATTCTCAACAAAAAAGCACAAATTGTTAACCAAATTCCAACACTAAAAGGGGGTTTGAGAAGGTGATCTCTGAGAAATTTAATACCACCTCATTTAAAAAATTCAAGCTAATTGTTGTTTTCAGTTCAAATGCACAGTGTTCAGTCTCTTGTGTCCTTAAAAAGGTACAAATTATATTTAGCAAATAGACTCAAAGTGAGAACAAAATACATTAAGAGGTACTGCTATAGCATATCTTTTGTTTGATTTCCCCCCCTTAAAAAATTTTAGTTGTTGGGTTTTATAAATTATCTTAGAAACTGAAATCATAATTCATTTGCAACTGAATGCCTCAAGAAAAGTTCATAAGAAAAATACAAGAGTATATATACACAAAATATCATTTGTGTAGTTGTTCATTTTACTCAGAATGTGTTACTCATAATTAACTTGTTCCTGTTCTATACATCCATGAAATGATTGAAAAAGTCAGTAACAAACCTAACTGACGAAATACTTTTCAGACACAGAGTAAAGACACATACCACAACATACTTCCTCAAAGACACAAAATGATAGAGCGAACTGACTTAATGAAAACAAACTTTCTTTTTTAAATCCTGAGACTTCAAAAATTGATTCATTCTAGAAAAATGAAATGCCTTCTCACCACCACCCCAAAAAAAAGCAAAGAAAACACAAGTGACTCAATGTTTAGGCTAAAAAAATTATTTCAGGAAGGGGGAGAACACACAAAACATCTAATTTAATATGGGTGTGGACAGATTTTTTTTTTTTTTTAACCCAGTCTTCTCACAAACCCCCTCTCCCTTCCAACTCAAAAAAGAGCCCTCAGTAATGCATTTTGGAGGGAACAAGAAGGAGCCTAGAAATGGCTTAAAAGCAAGCAGATGGCTTGGGGGAAAAGATCCATAAATACAGGGCACCATGAAAATTAAAATATAAATGTTTTGAGTGCCATTTCATCACATTTTGCTATTTTTCTTGTTTTTCATTTTATTCCCTAAAATTTAATCCATCCTCAAGAGCAAAAGAAAAAATCCATATATTTTATAATTCTACTTATTCTGGATATTTTTCACCAACACTCAGCTTTCAGTTCAAATATTCATATCCTTCTCAATAAACCTGCTAGTGTCAGTGTATGTTCCAAAAAATGTTTTAAAATAACAAGACTTATTTTCTTCCTTCCCATTTTATTGCCACTTTATTCCTAACTCTAATTGCCTTTCCAATAACACGGTATTTCAAACATCTGAAGTTAAATCGCAAGCTCTATCAACGTAGTAACAAGCCATATTGATCTACAGACACAATAGTTCCAAGTTACTTAAATACCAAGCTAAGCCACTAAATAGATCATTTCACATGAACTTTCTAGACCCTCTCAACAGCCCCCCAAAAAAAAGCAGTCACCACCCCCCACCTACCCACCCAGAAAAGGCCAGAGAGACTATTCTGAAATGCACCAAGTTTTCAGCTGAAATGGGGGGGGTGAGGAGGATCAAAGACTTACTGGGGGCTGCTTTCCAACTAGGGACATGAAAGCAAACTCTACACTGTCAACATGTTTAAAGTCTGATTTGAGAAAGTATAAAGACTGCCCGTATACTTCCCAGCCAGAGTTCAAGGAAAGATTTCAAAGTTCAATGGAAGATTTGAAATCTACCATGAATTCTCAGTAAACATGATGGAGGTAACCCCATTTTGCCGGAGAGAGAGGATAGAGGGTATAGGGTATTGGAACAGACACACACACAGAGGGTATAGGGTATTGGAATACACACACACACACATATACACACACACACGGAGGGTACAGGGTATTGGAACACACACACAGAGGGTATAGGGTATTAGAACACACACACACACCCCCATTCATCCACGGAGTTCACACACACACACACACACACACACACACACCCCCATTCATCCACGGAGTTCTAGGCCCTCCAAAGAGCCCCAGCTCACAGCCTCAACACAAAGCTCTCACCCCAGATGGTCCCCTTGTAACAATGGGCTGAAGGAGTGGGGGTAGGGGGGCTCGAAAAGGATAGTACAGCCAAGGCATATTCTTTGGAAAATCCAGTCGAGGAGGAGGATGATGTGAGATGTGAGGGATTGGGGATGGGGGAGGGGAGGGTCCATGGGAAATAAAGTCTTTGCTTGTTGCAGAAATATAAAGTATAAGCAAAAGGGAATTTTTGGGGGGACGGAAAACTCATTCCACTCCGATTAGGGAGTAGAAGGGCAATCTACTTTAGAATTACGGTGTGGAAAGAGTGAGAAAAACAGAAAATGAGGCCTGCTACGAAGTTGCAGAAATCGCCATGAGTCTGAACTCTTCAAAGATTTTAAGGTTCCCCACAAAAAAACGGCCCCACCGCTTAAACTCCACAAGGTTCCTCCCTATTGATTTTCTTTCCCCTTTAATTCTACAACTAACATCTTTTAGCCCACCCCAGCTCCAACTTATTTTTTTTTTTACAAGCTGTAAACCACCCATTACAAGATCTTGGCCAATCTTCCCTCCCTGCCCCCAACATCCGGAGTTGGGGGTGGGAAGACCAGTAATGGGTTTCTTCCACTGGAGACGCTATGGACCCCCTCAACACAGCTTCTCAGCACACCCCCACGCCCCCCACCCCGAGAAAAGAGCTCTTTCCTACCTTTGTTTTTTGGGCACCGAGTGTTCAATCTCTAGGCGTTTTCCTTGTAATTCTACTTTCCCTAAAAATTAAAAAAAAAAAAAAATTACTATAAGAGTGTGAACAGGGGCTGGGGGTGGGAAGAGGAAGGGGAAAGACACCAGGGTAATTCAGGAGTTACTGGGATTTCGAGATCTTCCTAGGAATCCAGGCAGTGGCTTCCATAGCAGGATGGGAAAAAGGCTGTTCTACGAATGGTGGAATCTATAAATTCGTTATTATTCATTTTTAAATTTTTGTTTTATGTAATCACTGAGGCTTGTAGTGGGTCGCTCTGGAAGCCCGATTTGGTAAAGGTGCAAGTCTATTTGTGTGGGTGCGCTGCCTATAGAGCTCCCAGATGTGGGGAGAAGAAGCGGGGAGAGAAAGGGCTCCCCATTCCACAGAAAGTGGGGCGGGGGACGGAGGCGTTATGCAGAACTAAACTTTATTTTTCTCTGTTGGCCAGAAAGAAAGGCTTCGGACCGCGGAGCGGTCACCTGTCGGGGCTGGTTTGGGAAAGGGTGGACCTGGGGGAGCAGAGCCGGGCCCGGCGGGGAGGGTCCCTCGCGGCCGCCGCGCGCGGCTCTCGGCCCAGCCTGGGCGTCTCGGGAAGCAGCATGGCGACCCGGCGCCGCCGCCGCCGCGCCACCCAGCTCACGCCCCACTTTCAAATCAAAATGGCTCAAGCCCCAGGCCCTGGGCGGGAGGCGGGACCCCTCCCTTGCAAGTCCTCCTGGAGGGCTGCATTGCCCATGCGAAGCGGCTAGATTGCCCGCGGTGCGGGGACCCCTTCCACGCCTGGAAAGGCCTAAGACTGAGGAAGGGGAGCCGGGGTTTTCCAGCTGGGGGACCGTCCACTGGCGGATAAGGAGGGGCTGGACGTGGAAATAACGCCTAGCCGGGGGTCATCTCCCTGTCCCTAAACCCACCCCCCACTACTGCCATTGGGGGCTCCCGCCCCGTCGGTGGGGAGAAGGGATGGGGGAAGCCAGAGCTTCTTATCTCAGGCTAGGAAGAAATCCCGAATATTTCTGCGCGGGGGTGGGGGTGGTGCAGAGCGAGGGAGGGGGCATCGAAGCGGGTAGGTCGAGGGTGGGTACGGAGGCCAAGCCCCGCAGGCCCGGGAAGAGAGGAGTTGGCGGGAGAGGAACCGGAAGGTGCGGGTCTCCGTTGTTCGGGGCTCCCGTTGTGGCTTTTCCGGGAGATGGCTGTGCTCTTACCGGAGAAAGTTTCGATGGCCTTCATCGCCCAGTGCTCGTCCGGGCAGTCCACGAAGGCGTAGCCGGATTTGACCAAGAACTGGCCGCTGTAGGAGATCTTGTGCTCCGCAAACACTTTCTCCAAGTCCGCGGGGGTCACGCTCTCGTTGAGGTTGCCAATGTAAAGCTTGTTCATGGTGGCGGTCTCGGGGCAGGACGCGGTCCCGGGCAAGGCCGAACGAGCGGGCGCGGGCGGCGAGCCTCCTAGGCCGAGAAGCGGGGAGGCCGGCGGCAGGAGCCGCAAACTTTCTTTGCACCCCACCCCAGAAGTTGTCCGGAGCCCAGGGCGGGGAAGGCGGCCTGAGGGCGCGCAGAGGTCGCGAGAGAGTTCGGGGAGAGCCCAGGAGAAGTGCCCACGGCGCGCAGGGAGACGGACGACGCGGCGCGGCTCCTTCCCTTCGGTCCGAAACCCCTCCGAGAGGGCTGGTGTGTCACGTTTCTCCGCGGCCGCCCTGGCGCCGCCTCTAAATAAAATCGACTTGAAAAAAAAATGGAGCGGAAAAAAAAAAAAAAAAAAAAGAAGAAGCCACGTGGTGACAGCCCCCACCCACTCTGTAGGGGAAGACCCCCGACGCCACAGGGCCCCTCGGCCCTCCGGCCAAACCCAATAATCTCCCGCCTGAGGGTGGGTAACTCAACTCACCCCCGGGGTAAACTAGGACCGTGGGGCACAGTCCCCGAGGCTCTACTCGCCCCTTCCCCCTTTGCAAGAACCTGGCCTCTAGGGATGCGCCCCGCCCCCACCCATCCCCCTACCCCAGCCCGAACTGGGGGAGGATGGTCCAGCCCAGATCTCCCAAGTCTTAAAGGGTAAAACGTACGGTTATTTTTTATTCGTTTTGCCGGGCGGGGTTGCTCACCCCACCCCCGTTAACTGCTAGCGACTGACAAGCAAGGGACGGCCGAGATAGACAAAGAGAAGCCGAAGACTCTGGGGTCTTCAGGAGAGGGTCGCACGAGCTGGTGATTTAAAAAGAAAGGCACCTTTTCCCTAGATGTTTAAATGGGGGGGGGGTCTTCGCTTTCCCCACCCCAGCCCCCTGGAACTCCCCCGCCTCCGGGGATGCAGGACCGGGGGACCCTACAAGCGCGGGACCGAGTAGCTGGGAACACTGGGGATCCCAGTTGAGAACGAGGAAGCCGCAGGAAATCATATTTCGAGATCCCCACGGGAGAAAGGATGGTTCGCACCCGGGGTCCGGCTGTTAAATGATAACGTTTCGGGGTCCTAGGGGGAACGCGCGGAACTGGCCGGAGATGACCCCAGGAGAGGAGGACGGTGGGAAAGAAGGAAGAGGGGTGGTAGCTAGAGCTAACCCGAGCGAACCGAAGGGGGAGGTCTTAGGGAGGGAGTGACCGGGTGGAGATTTGAATTGTCCCCTTTTCCCTCCCTGAGTCGGGGACAGACAGGTGGAGTTTCCAGAGCTCGCACCACCCAGACACCGCCGGCAGCTCTCTAGGCCCTAGGTTCGGGTCTCCTAACTTTGTTTGGGGTGCAGGACTCCGTTCCCGGCGGGAAGGCGGGAGAGGGACGGAGGGCGGGGGGCTAAGCGCGAAGCCCCGCCCACGTCCCCAGGTCAGACCCGCGGGGGGAGGGGGTAATTTCCGCTCCGCGCACGGGGAAGCGAGGGGCGGGAGCTTAGGGGAGGGGGCGGCAGCCCCTCCCCCCTTCCTCCGTTCCTGGGGAGGGGGAAGCGGATCCGCCCGGGTCCCTTCCCTCGGCTTTAACCAACTCATTCCGGATCCTCTGGCTCTGGGAGCCCGAGGGAAGGACCGGACTGGGCTAGGGGCGACACGTGGGCGGTCGCACCCCGTCTGGGCGGTGGGGGAGGGGGCGGCTAGCCGCGCGTTTCGGAGTCCCGGATACGCGGCTGAGAGCTGGACGCGCGGTCCACGCGCAAGCCCTGACTCCACGGCTGAGCGGCGAGCGAGGCCAACGAGTTTCTAGCGGCGGGGGCTGGGATGGCGCCAGGGGTGGCGGAGAGCGCGGCCGGGAGACTATGGAACCCCCTCGCTTAGGGAACGGGGAAAAGCGAGGGTCGACCCCCAGAAATTCTGGAGTCCCCCTGAACAGGGCGGAAACTGGGTTATTACTCCAGACTCTGCAGGAGGGAGGATAATTCTGTCGGGGGTACGCGTGCTGGGAGGGCAGGTGAGGAAGGGGGTCACTCCCCTTCCCCAGTCCCCGACCCCATTGTCTCAGTCGCCTGCGGCCCGGGCCGACTCCGCAACACGTGTTGACTACACCGATATGAATGCCTTGAAATTTTTTTATTGTTATTATTTTTCGTTTGCAGAGTCTGAGCTGACTCCTACTTCTGCTCAACGCTCTGCTGCTGGATGATTGCAGCCGTTCAAAAAGTCGGGAGTTGAAAGACAGCATGTAGCACCTTTGTCCCCCTCCCCGTTTTCCCGGCGCGCTGAAAAGACATAGGGTTGGGACTTGGGGGCGGGGGAGGGCTTACAACTCGCTTTCTCTATCTCCTCCAGCACCTTAGAGCCCACCCTCCCCAATGAGCGTTTTGTTCTACCCAGCCACGTGTTTTTCGGATTTTTGATTTTGAGATTTTTTCCCCCATGGAACAACAGGAATTAAAATACTATAAGCTATTTGTTGTTGAGTAGAAAAAGAATATTTTCTGCCCAAGAAGGTGGGAGACATCTGTGTCTCACCCACACACACACACCTCTGACCCTCCCCGCTTATCTGACTCTTAATAGTTAGCTCTTGATCACAAGCATTATTTTAAAACAAATCAGTGAGCTGGAAACAGTGCATGCCGCATAGTAGGCACTCAATAAACATTTTTTAAATGAAAAACAAGCTAAAACAAACAGCACAACAAAGAGAATCATGAAAATTAGAGTCCAGAGGGAAAAAAATTATCTTGGTCAGAATGTGTGATTCTGTTGCCCAGGAACTTTTCTTGGTGATGTGTGTGGACTTTTGAAAGGGCTAAAAGATGGTCTCCAAAAGGCTGTTGTATTTCTTGGCCTTTTCCTAAAGAGGAGCCCCAATCTCCCTAAATCTTTTCTGTTAGATTGGGGAACAAGGAGGAAGGCAACTAGGCAGAGCATCCCAGTTCCTAGAAACTTTAAGTGCTGTTTCCTTCATTTAATATGAATCTTTAGGTGATAATAAAAGTACTTCTCAGATTTTTCTCCCTGGGGGACATATCCAATATGCTATCTCTGTGTGCCTAAAACAAAAGCAAGTTATACCCCACAAAAATCTCCATCCAGACCTCTTAAACTCCTGTAAAATGCAATCAACTTTTTACCATCCTAGATTCAATGGGAAACAATTTTTTTTTAAATAATCATTGAATTCAGCTCACCTTTAGGTTTTTTTCCATGTAAAAATCACTCACTAACACTAGCTAAGTGTTAGCTGAATCAGTTTAAATGTATTTAATATTAGAAAATATAAATTCACTTGAACAATCTGCTATTTGAAAATCATTTTAAATTATGTAATTAAAAATTACCAATGATTGCTAAATTGAAACTGGTTAGTTCTTTTCTTAAAAATCAGCTGTTTTACTTAATTCGAATCCTCTCCACCCCCCCAAAAAAAGGGCTTATGTGTGTATAGTTAGAAGCTGCAAAGGCTGCAAGAATATGAGAGGAGACAACAGGGGTGAAATACAGATCTTTTTAGCCCCCAAATCAGTTTTGCCTCAGTGACCTGGCCATTTCAGGCTAGGGTTGGGGAACTAAATCATGTTGATTGGTGTTTCATCTCTCCCTTCTGAATGAGCCCAGCACTCAAATTAACCTGAAAGAAGGGTTATTTCTTGTCTAGACTGACATTCCTAGGTTAGGGATAAAAATGGGCATACTTGAGGTACCATAACTTTTCATATTTCTTTTCTTTGTTTTTGTGAATATTAAAGACTACTATCAAACATTGTATTTATTTTCAATTTTTTTCTACATTGCTTCTTTGGGACAGATAAATATTTAGTGCAGAGTTACATTTAACTTGTTTAAGAGTTAAAAATACAGCTACAGGATTAAATGTTCTTTTTCTCTTTAATAATTATTATCCTTTATAATGCATATCCTATATGATATATACTGTATATTCTATATGGTAATGTTAATACTGTTATGCTTCTTCCGATTCTTGTTCTTCTCCCCTTCCTCCTCTTCCTTATTTTTTCTGGAGAACAGTTTGGTCTAATTATGGAATTTAATTATCTGAATTCAGAAACACTGACATTTGACTCCATTTTAAAGATAGGATTCTAATCCATTTTCCTCCAGTGTGAACATACAAAAACATGCAGAGAGGAAAAAAAAGTTTGAGAGAATAAAACAACTTTTTTAAAGATTTAAAATAAAAGAATATTTTTCTTGGAGAAATAAGCCAAGTTAAAAAAGGAAAACAAAAAGGAAAGAAAAAAAATTTTAAAGAGTGAAAAATAAAAATAGAATTAAAAATCAATAATTTCACCATTGTCACAGAAAATTAATTTAACTTTTAAATGTTTATTTTTCAGCATTTGTTCATTTATACTAGTTTCAAATTTTGTCATTGTTATATCTTAATTTTTTACTTGTTTTTGTACCATAAGTATTTCCCCAGGCTGTCTTAAAGTTTTCATGACTATCAATTCAGTACAGTTATATATGTAAATCATTAACCATGATATTTAGATATATGTTACATCAAATTTTTTACTTTTGTAAACAGTGCTGAATAGATATTTTGGGGAATATAACTTTTCCTTTTTTGGATTAGCTCCTTTGGATAAATCCCCAGAATATATATTGCATTTTATATCTAACACTTACTGACTTTTCTATTTTTAAAGTTCAGCATGTTTTACAAAAGAAAGAACAAACAAATGGAAAGCAGCTAGGAGAGAAATACATTAAAATACAATTTTTTAATTTTCTGATGAATCAATCAATTTTGGAATAAAATTTTGGTTGCTACAAAATATAGAAAAAGAAAAGCTCACATTTCCTGATATATTGCTGCTTTTTTAAAGAAATTTGTTTTTTGTTTGGTGGGTTTTTATTTTATTTATTTTTGGTTTTGCTTGCTTGTTTTTTTTTTTACTGTTACCACTTTGGGATGTTTTGTTTCTTCCTACAACTTAAAGTCTTACTGTGGTTCTTTTAAACGCCTATAAACTTTGAGAAAGTGTAAATTAGTTCCAGTTTAAAAGCACATGCAGCTTTTTCTCCTGTCAAATAAATAAGTATGTGTTTAGGGTATCTCATAAAATGTAAGCAAACTAAGCAGAAAAGGAAATTTTCCTCCTTCAAATTATCATTCATTCAAAAGTGTTCAGTGTTGAAGACCTGAGAAAGCAATGTATGTATTCCAGAGACAGAAGAGGCTCAAGGGGAAAAAAGAACTGAAGGACAACCGTTTGTTTTTCTATGGGTTACACAGTGTGTTTGACAAAACCTCTCAATTTTTTGTTTTGGTTCAGGTTTGCAATGTAGAAACTTTTAGGGAAGGAGGGAATCATTTAATTTATTAACT